TTGTGCGATGGTAGTTAGAATTTGTAATCCTAATTATATTAAGATTTGAGTATATTCTGAAGATAGTTGTTTTTTCTAAATAAAGCTAATCAAAATCCTCAAAAAAAAAGTTAATAAAAAATTAAGGAAATACCACGTATAAAAACATTTGCGTTTTATCGCACAAGGCGCGAGAACTTTTGCCCAATGCTATAACAATGTTCTTCTTTGTAAATAACTAATGTAATATTGTTATGCGGGTATTGCAATATATATATTATGAATGATTCTTACATTTTTTGTCAATTGTCAAATCTATTATACTTTCACTCCAATATTTAAGAATTATGTGATTATGTGAATTGACTATTTCTCAAGTATATGAAATCGGTGCAATGATTGAAGGGTTTTATAATGAATTGTATTAGTAGTTTTATGAACTACATTAGCTTGATCACATGCGAGGCCCAAGGGTTGGTGCCCAACATAAATTGGATTTAAGAATTGTAATTTTTTCTTAGTGTTTTCAAGCATCTTATGAATTTATATAAAAAGGCCGGGTTGATTATTAAAGAACTTCATATAAAAAACATAGAAGAATCTATGGACACGCTATGATGGGTTAAAGCCCAGTGTTACTTAATTCTTTTTCAATTTTTTTAGTGTAATTTTTTTCATTTTCATATTCAACCCACTCCCTAATGTTTAAGCCTTGTATAATTGCTTCTAAGTCCATGACATTTTAGATTTCTGGATTCGCCCATGCAAACATCTATCTTACAACTTATATAATGGTTACGGTTATTACCAATATGTACAAATAAGTGCAATTATGTATGGAATATAATAGTTATAGATTAATTGGTATTGCTATATTGGTAGCCGCAAGTTGAAGTTCAATTTGAGATGTTACCCTAGTTACTCCCTCCGTAACAAAAAAATCTCCTCACTTTCATTTTTCGTCCATAACAAAAAAAATCACATTTATCAATCTTCCCATCATACCCTCAATAATTTTGCAAATAATACACTATTACAACTACTTCTTTTGGGTTTATCCCTCATTCTATCGCATTATTCCACTATCTTCCCATCATACCCTCAATAATTTATATTCTCTTTCACTATTCTTAATTTAACTGGGAAAATTTTAAAGTTGCGGAGGGAGTATGATTTTAGGAGCAAAGATGAGGTGTATAAATGGAACGGTGAACGCATGATAATCTTTGGATAATTGGATTTATAGCAAGCGACTATTGCCGGATCAGTTTCACAATCGAGAATGGCCAATTTGAGATGTTTTGTTCACTGTATTTCGTTAATATGCCTTGCATCGACGACGGAGGAGGGCAAGATGCTGAGCGGATCCAACTTAACGGAATATAAACGTCAGTTGGGAACATCAAGGGTAAATATTAAATAAGACATAAGAACAATTGATCGAGTTCCATTTTTTAAAGCAATGTACAATCTTTCATGCACAAAATGTGTTGACACAAATAAAGGGTACCAACCTTTATTTATACTTATAATGTTGTTAGATTAGATTTTAATTTAAGAAGCAATACAAGGAGTTAGTTTAAATTTGAAAGAGGCCGTGAGTTTGGTGAGCTACGGTCTACAAGTAAGTACTTCAAATATGAAAGAGGACAAATTTGTCCAACAATGGGAAGAAAAGGGTGCGCTGGTAACCGAGTGTTCATCGCTGTGGTGAAGGAATAGAGATTGGGTGGTTTATTTAGGGTTACTATTGGTCTGAGTTTCTTGAGTGAGGGAATAGAGAATGGGTGAGCTTTATTTGAATTATTTTATTGGATGGGCTAAGCAATATGAAATAAGAAGTAAAAATAAATGGAGGCAAGTAAATTTTATGGAGGGAAATGAAAAGTGAAAATTTTGTTTAGGATAAAAATTTGCAATTTTTTTATATTGTGTCACTATTATGTATTGATGTTTTTATGTCATAAACGTATGACACTTAAACATCGCTAATAATATATGTCGTCTATGCATGACACTATAGACAAAAGTGTCACTGCAAAAGTGTCACTATAAGACAGTTTTCTACTAGTGAGAGTAAAAGAGACTCTCTATCTTTGTACTCAATATTTTATATTAATAACATTATCTTTTATTCCTCCAAGTCTCAACATAAATAATTATAATTTGCAAAAAATATGTTGAAGTTTAAGATTTGGCTGCTTCTAAAAAAATAATCCGAGAAGTATCTTATGACTCTATTATGAGCTTATTACTTTCCAAGGGGAGATTTGCAATTTTCCTCCTATGACTTTCGGTCATTTTTATTGTTAGTCTCGTAACTTTACACACTTGTAAATATGGTCATGTAAATAATAAATCTTTGCGATTTAACGACTCCACAAAAAAAGTACACTTTCCGACAATTGTATAACAGAAAAGATGTTCGTGTCAGATTTTTTTGCCGGAAAGTGTCATTTTATGGTAAAAAAGTCCTTAAACTGCAATGATTTATTAATTAAATGATCAAATTTGCACATGACCTGAGAAAATTTACAATACCAAATCTCCTTTTTCTAAGTTACAAGTAGCTTGTGATTTTGTGTCATGGGTTTAGAATAGGAAGTAAGAAAGATGAGTTCTTATGTTGATTTCACTTATCTATGTTATTATTTGATCTTTGATAAGTTTTTGTAATAACAAATATTATCTTTATCTTCTATCTAATCTAATACATAAAAGCAAAACAATTTTGCACTGTTCATTTTATAGTACTCCCGCCTAAACATTTCAATGGTTCAATTAAAAATAAAAACACATCTCAGTCGTCCCTGTTGTTCACCTCTTCCTCCATTTCTCCACGGATGGCCATTCATCAATGTCGGCTGTGCAATGCCCTTCGCCTTCCTTCACTTATTTGGCCTTCATCCCGTCCATAACTATATCCATGTCCTTCCTCCATCCATTTTCCTTTTCAACCTCTGGGTGGAAGTTTCAATTTTCATGTTTTATACTCCGTACTACGTATGTTTTCTTCACCAACTGCGCACCCCAATCGAAGGTCTCCTTGTCAATGACTACCTCTCCGCTGGTCTAACCTTAACCCATCCATACACGAGTACTTCAACTTCTCGGAGATCCACAATCCTCAGCAATGTTTGAAAATAAGGTATTCAGATGTTCTTCAAATTTTAGTTGTAACAACCAATAAAATATTAAGACACAAATTGACATATAATGTCTCGAGCAACTTATCATATCATGTTTCTGAGAAATTCCTACATTTAGTTCTTTGTTTTCCGTTTTGATTTATTTCAATCATGCGTTTTACTTTAAAACGTCGAGATTGAATTTGAATCAATACTTTGTTTGGAACATGTTTGTTAAAATGTCTCAATGAAGTATAACCGTGTAACTCTCTTCACTGGGAGCCCCATTTTTGGGAGCCCCATTTTTTTAAAACTTGTACACAATTTTTCATTTTTATTACAAATCACTTAATTTTAATTTTGAGTTATAAAATGAGGTCTCAATTTAGTAAATGTAATAGGGCCTTCAAAATGTATTAGACGTCCCTCAGGGTTAGAGTAGTGAAACAGTTAGCACAAACATGAGATTGAAGTATAGATGGATGATGAAGGAGAGGGTGGTGAGTGATGATCTGTGAAAGAGAAGATGGTGACTAGTAATCGTTAGGGGCGAAGGCGACCGATGATCGGTGAGGGTGCTGATTGTGACTGATGATCGGTGGTACACGACTACACGCTGGTGCGAGGGGGTAAGACAATGATTTTATATCCTAAACTTTGGGCTTTGAGCTACTATTAGGTTTTGGAATAAAAAAAACTCATTTGGGCTGGATTTTTAACAATTCATTGAAACGGTAATACTTCGTATTGGTTTACGGAGTTTATTAAAGCAAACTTTTAAAAAATTTAATATCCGGAATAATATACTTTTGGTGATCTCTCTCCGTCTCTAAATAAACATCCCACTTTCCTATTCGGCATGTCCCTTAAAGATGTTCCCTCTCCCTTAAAGATGTTCCCTTTCCTTATTTAGTAAATAAAACAGGGCCAAACAGTGTCGCTTTGTTGAATTGCGTCAAAGTCAAACGAGACCTTTTAAATTGGGATGAAGAGAGTATTATTTATAGAAATTGAACAAAAACTTACTTTGTTAAATTTTCTAAATGAATTGCAAGTATTGAAGATAGAAAATTATAGGACCGAATGTAGTAATCTTATAATTTAATTTTAATATAATAAAGTTCTATTTCTCATGACATTTATGGCATAAATTGCTACTACCTCCATCCCACTAAGATTGGGATAAAAGAAGGTGTCACGATTATTAAGAAAAATGAGTTTGCGTGGTTGATATTATATTGATAAAGTAAGAATAAAGTAAGAATGATTTAGAGCCACACAAATATTACCAAATTTGGTATGTGACAATCTTAGTGGGATTTCCGGAAAAGGTAAACTGAGACAATCTTAACGGGACGGATATTGTATTTTTTATTACTCCGTATTTATTTTTACAATAGTGTACAATTTAATTTATGTTTACAGTTTATATTTATCGCATTAAATTATGAAAATATATATATTCAAATGGATAAATATTAAATTAGCCTTATAATTCTTGTGCATTGCACAAGTACTATACTAGTTTATTTAGTTATAAAATTCAGATCAAAAGGCATTTCTGCGAGCAGAAAGGGCGGGGCAAGCCTAAAAAAAATTATTCCCTCCGTCCCAAAATTAATTTCTCACTTTCCTTTTCGAGCAATCCCGAAATTAACTTCACACTTCAAAACTTTCCTTATTTGGCAAATAATCACATCAAAAAAGTGTCAAAAAATGCCAAATAGTGTTTAAACAGTGCAAAACAGTGCATTCCACAGTAAAGTCAAATTTATTTTCTTAATCTGTGTGAAGTCAAACTGAGAAGTTAATTTTGAGACGGAGGGAGTAAAACTTTTTAGGCCCATCAAATCAACCTAATTTTATCAAGCCCAACTGGCCAAGGGTCCAAAATTAAGAAGCGCGTAGTACTTTGAGGAAGCAGAGCAGACATCTCTGGATCAAACCCGTCAAGTCGCCGACTTCCTTCGCGGCTTCGTCCTCCGGCTGGTGCCAGCACGGCAGCACCGCCACTTCGCCAGGAGCCAGCACCGTAGCACGCCTTGTTAGTCGTCGCCTACTCGCCACACGCCCGTCTCCCGGTCTCCCGCTCTCCACCACTCACCCTTAGGCGGTTCGGCCAACCCGGCCATCTCAATATCCGCCTTCCGACCTTCCCTAGTTCCAGTATTCCTCCAGTCCTCTTCTCTTTTGCTGATTAGTTTCTGTATTTTTTCCTAGTGATACCCCTAATTTATGCCAATCATCTATCGCATTCACATTTAGACCTAGGCGCACATCTATTTCAGTTGCTCTGTACGACGGCTTGAACACGGTTAAAACTTGTGTCTTGAATTCAAAATAATCGACATTGGAAGATCTCTATTATTTTAATTTTAATTTTAATTTATAGTCATGCATGAACAATCTTTTCAAAATCAAAGGTTCTAAATGGTGGGTTTACTACTCTGCTTACAAATAATGAAAGGTACTAACCCCAGTAATTAATTACTATTGTGTTCTCAATAATGAGTTACGGAGTATCTGCAGACTATTAACTACTATAGTAAAAATCTATAACGATATTTATGTACTTCACACATAGTATATACTTCCTTCGTCCCTAAATAAACATCTCCTTTCCTTTTCTGTATGCCCCTTAATAATGTACCCTTTCCTTATCTGGTAAGCAAAACAGTGCCAAACAGTACCAAACAATGTCAAATAGTGCCATATAGTGTCCAAACAGTGTTATTTTCTTAAATTGTGTGGAGGTCAAAGGGGACCTTTTAAATAGGGACGGAGGGAGTATGTAATATGAGAGCATGTGAAGTGTTATAAAGTCTAATACTCTTTAGATTTTTTGTAAAGCATAGATATCTCTATTCTAAGACATAATTCTTAATTATATGTCTTTTAAAGAGATTAAAATGATCTGTTGTAGTCAGGTTGGGTAGGACATTGAATAATTCAAGCTTTTTGGATATAACACATCTTTTAAACCAATATTCTATCTGTTTGCTACTCTGCTTACAAATAATGAAAGGTACTAACCGTAGTAATTAATTACAATCATGTTCTCAATAATGAATTACAGAGTATATGCAGACTATTAAATACTATAGTAAATATCCATAATGATATTTATGTACTTCATGTGTAGTATATATGTAATATGCGAGCATGTGAAGTGATATAATGTCCAATACTCTAGATTTTTTGTAAAACATAGTTATCTCTATTCTAAGCCATAATTTATAATTATATGTATTTTATGGAGATTGAAATGATCTGTTGTAGTCAGGTTAAAAGTAATAGGAAAAACTGCTAATGTAGCTCTCTAAAGAAAATTTAGTTGGATAGGACATCGAATAATTCAATCTTTTGGATGTAACACATCTTTTAAAACAACATTCAATCTGTTTTTGGGAAAATTTGGATACGGCCTTTGACGTCTATGTGAAATTTTTGCTTATGAATATATTCTTGTCTTAGATAGTTTGAATTTAATGAGTATATTAGTAGGTAAATATTTTTTTTATTTAGTAAACACAAAATAGAGCTGGTAGCACTCTATTAAATAAGCACCAAATATTTATGAAGTGTCCATTTGGCAGTGTTTTTTCTTATTAAGCTTATCAATCAGATGTTAAGCTTAACAATAATTTTTTAAGCTCTGAACTATGTAATAATAGTAAGAAGTAATAATTTGAAGTGAGTTGCATAAATATACTATAACCTGTAATGGATGGGTTCATTCCAAAAATTTAGCAGAAGTGGAGAACCTGATACCTTTTAAAGAACCTGTTTTTTCAACCATTAACATGACTACATTTTGTGTGTAAAGATAGACTGAACAATTGATCAATGGAAGAGGTCGGGCAGAAGACGCCGGTAATTTTCAAAGACATTAGGAGATACTGCTGCGAGTTCTGTGGTATTATCCGTTCCAAGAAAACACTCATCTCTTCTCATATCCTTTCCCATCACCAGGTACTTCTACCAGCGTGCATTATTGGTTTATCAAACGATCAAAATTTGGGGGGAATTGATTTTTATTTATATAAATTGACTAGGATGAGCTCAAATCAAAACGTGAATCTGAAGATTCGGATGAAAAGTTGCCAAAAATTCACACATGTGAAGAGTGTGGCGTGAAGTTCAGGAAATATGCCTATTTGAAGCAGCATATGCAAAGTCATTCCCCTGAGGTATCACATAGAGATTTAAGCCTGGAGAGTAGTTTATATGTGGCTAGGTCAATTGCCTATTTGATTAGCGTATTTTGTCTTTCAAAAATTTAGTTTTTTATATGCATGTTTATCTCTATATTTATTCAGACCTGGATCCACAGTCCACACGCATATATTTATACTTTTAAAGAGCTAGATTTGTTATTGGTTCTGCTTTATTTTGTGACCGCGTACAACCTGGGTTTCAAAATCTTGTGTGGTCTTGCAGATTGAGATTTAAAGGTTTAATTGATTATCCATTATCAGAAGTGTGAAGCATTGGATCCCATTCAATGAACTCCAAAATGCGCATGGCATTCATATGATCTTGAATGGAATAGTACCAGGCAGGGGGACCTCCTGAGAAGCTCCATCAAGTAGGCCTGAATCACGCTGTCTTCTTCCGGTGTGCATAGAGATCCTACCCCTTCCCTATTCTCTATTTTTTCTTCGTTTCCACCTTTTTAGCTTGATTTTTCAATAGTCCAAGTTATTTGTCCTTTTCTCTCAAACAGAGGCCATTCACTTGCCCAATAGATGATTGCAAGTCTAGCTACAGAAGGAAGGATCACTTGACTAGACATCTCCTTCAGCATAAAGGCAAGCTGTTTGATTGTACGGTTGATGGTTGTGGCCGGAAATTTAGTTACAATAGTAATGCTAAACGTCATGTACTGGAGATGCATGACCAGTGTTCTGCAAGTGATGATGCTGAAGCACCAAAGCAGCAGCAGGTGTGCACCGAAGTTGGCTGTGGAAAGTCTTTCAAGTATCCATCCCAATTAAAGAAACATGAAGATTCGCATGGTGAGCCTCGCTAAAGAAACATGAAGTTTCTAAGCGCTTGACTCGTGAACTCTTTGATTTGCTTATTAGCTTCATCAGCCAGTTCTTTTACCAAAGTTAACTTATTTCACTATGCTGTCTGAATCGCTGATAATGGAAAAACACTGCATGAGTTACTGGTTTGGCTGGAATTGGTACTAATGTCTTTATAGATGTTATTGTTTTTATTTAAATCTATACTTTAATGGTAATTCAGCAGTTTTTAGTTAATACAGCCAATCCAGCCAATTTAGTCCTCACCAAAAGGGATCTATGTTTAAAAATTCTAAGGATGTAACTAAAATATACTCATGGTTTTTACTTGTTACAGTGAAGTTAGAGACAGTTAAAGCATTTTGTGCAGAACCTGGGTGCTTAAAGCATTTCACTAATCAACAGTGCCTTAAAGAACACATTCTGTCCTCCCACCAACATATTGTCTGTGAGACATGTGGAACAAAGCAACTAAAGAAGAATATAAAGCGTCATCTTCGAATGCATGAAGCTCGGCCTTCGTCGGAGAGAATCAAGTGTGACTTTAAGGACTGTGAGCGTACATTTGCAACAGTAAGCAGTCTATTCCTAATACCTTGGAATTGCATTTCCATTTGCCTCACCCAACATGATTATGCTTTTTATCTTTGTTTTTCGTGATTTTCCATGCAGAGATCAAATCTAAATCAACATGTGAAAGCTTTTCACCAATCACTGAAGCCATTTGTCTGCAGTATTTCTGGCTGTGGTGCGAGATTTTCATTTAAGCATGTGAGAGATAACCATGAAAAGTCTGGATGCCACGTTTACACTGAAGTAAGTTCTCTCCATAGAAAAGCTAAGTGTGATTGTTGATAATGCACTGAATATCACATGTTGCAATTTACTTTATCAACAGGGAGACTTTGTAGAGTCTGATGAGCAATTCCGTTCAAAGGAAAGAGGTGGTAGGAAAAGGAAGCTTCCTGTTTTGGAGACTTTGATGAGTAAAAGAATTGTCCCGCCTAGAGATACTGATCCTATTCTTGAGCATGGTCCAGAATACTTGGCGTGGTCGCTTTCTGCTGGGTCTCAAGATGAATCCTGAATTGTCTTTGGTCTCTCCTGTTAGAGGATATAAATGTATTTATGGGTGTTAAAGGGTTATCATGTGAGGGTTTGAGAATTACACGAGTTACTTTTGGCGTGAAGTAAAAATGTGTTCATAATTTTAACTTTTAAACTATAAATGCAATGTAAATGAGGCCATAATTGTACGTATGGTAAGTATATTAATACTCCCTACATCCCAATATAAAAGGCACACATTCCTTTTTGGGCCGTCCTAAATTCCTAATATCAAAGACACATTTCCCTTTTTGGCAAACAAAATAGTGTAAAACAGTGGTCCTCCTAAAAGTGTTTGAAAAAGCAAATGTGCTTCTCTATATTGGGAGTTGGGACGGAAAGAGTATAAGATTCAGCTGACGGTTGATATCATACAAGTAACATATGGCACCTCAAAATAGTTAATAATATGAGGTGAAGCTAGGAGTTGACCGGGACCGGGTCGGGCTGGACTCTGGGATTAGGTGGGCTCAGACTTAACAATTTCAATCCCGGTACCGGTCCGGGTTTTTATTGGGACCGGGTCGATCTGGGTCTTAACAGGCTCGGGTCGGGTTGGGTTTCAGGATGGGACTAGCAATAAATTAAAGAAATAGTACAATCAGGCCCGGGCCTGGTCGAGTCGGGCCCAAAAAATGAGCCCGTAGCTCGTCCTTTTAGCTGCCGGGTTGGGCCCCATGCCACGGGGACTGGGTCTGAACAGTAGCGGACCCGGCCGGGCCTAAACAGTATCGGCTTGGTCCGGGCCGGGTCGATCCGTCCCAGTCCATCCTTGGTGAAGCCTGCGTTCCTCTTTGTCCATTTGTCCAAACATAACTTTTCAGTCTTTTCTATGATTATCATTATTGCGATGATGGGCGTGTCCGCTTGTATCACCACATTTGTAACTAGCCACTTTCACATTGTTTAATTTGACAACATTTATAGTAGTAATGTATTCTAAACTGTGACAATTTTTGTAATACATAGTCATACTAGTAGCTTTTTTTCATAAACGACTAGTTTCATACCCGTGCGATGCACGGGAAAATATGATTCTTATAAAAAATATAATTTTTTTAATAATATAAATTAAAAATGAAATTTAATTATTTCCTACGTAAGAATTGAATTCAATTGTATTGTCACAAATTTGCAATGTAATAATACAAATTGTAAATATACATCTAGCAAAAAAGAAATAAAAGTTATGTTATCCGACCCAAACCGACCCGAGAGAATCAACCCACTCAGCATCCCGGGGCAGTTAGGACCAAACTCACAAATCATGAAAACACGCTTAGACCGGTGGGCGTAGCTCAACTGGTAGCAAGGGAGTGCCACAAGAGTTAGGTCTCGGGTTCGAATCCCGGCAACTGCGATGAGGAGTTACTATGTTGAAAAATGCATAGGGTCTCTGCAAGTACCGGGTACATAGCCCCACTCTCTATCTATCAGATTGTGATTATAGTCCAATTTACATCCTCCCATCGTGCCGTCCGGTCGGTGGTGGGGGGCCCTCAGGGATGGGGTGTCATCCTTTTTTATGAAAACACGCTTAGACTTGAAGACCGAAAACCGGACCACAACCCCTTTCCTAAACTTGCCCGAAATCGCATAACCTAGTCATTTTAAAATTTCAAAGATTTCGTCTATTGTGGGATTTGACCTATGGTGTGCCGGAAACCTTCCTACCCTAACATCCAATGCACTATTTAAGGCAATTAGTTGTACTTTCAAAAATTTCGTCTATTGTGGGACTTAATTTGACCATGTTTTTTACTGTTGATTGGCCGACCCATAATTTCGTCTAGTTGTACCCGCCATTTTTTGTAGCACGTATCTCTAAACAAAGTCGAATATTAAATCCCAGAATTTAGAGTCATCAATGTGTATTAATTTGATTCTAGAGTTTTGAGTAAAACAAATAACTCTGGCGGCAAAGTACTTAATAATTAACACTAATACATTTCAACCACACCGTAACCACTAAACATAGCAAATATGTTTTTATTATTCCTTCGAATAATAGCAATTATTTTTAGAAGTGCCGTAATTTCTTTTTATTTTTACCCAGTATTACCTAAAATAAAATGTTTTTTGAAGTGTGATAGTTCCTTTTTCAGAAATTGCCCTAAATAGGAGTAAAAACATTTGGAAATTCCAAAATAGGAGTATCATATTTTTTATTTCTTGAATAGGAGTAATCTGCCAAGTTTGAAAGAAACTGCCATCTTTAAAGCCTTGTAAAACTAAACTTGACAGAAATTTACTCCTATTTAAGGAATAAAAAACATGATACTCATATTTTGGAATTTCAAAACGTTTTAACTCCTATTTAGGGAATTATCTCTTTATTTTTTAGCTAGACAAAGTATTTATTTAAGTTAAATAAAGCATAAAATTAACAACAAAATACATATATGTAATTCGATCATATTTTTACACTTAACATTTTTCTGAAGCCTCTTATAAGTTGCAAACAACACTAATCACTTCAGTTGGATTAAAGTAATTGTTAAATGTAAATCGATTCTATCAAACAAACTCCAATAATTGTGCCTTCAATTCGTTGGCGAGAGCTGAATGGCTTGCGATACTACTTTTGCACATCTCTCTATCTATCACTGTTTATTAAGAGCTGGAGTGGTTTATAGGTCCGTGATTTAGGTCATATAGCTAGGGGTATATAAAATTTACTATAGCTGCGTTTTTTCCAATATAATTCCATATTTTGGAATGAAAGTGGGAGGTTCTTTTCTTGGTATAAAAACAAACGGGGGAAAGCTTTTTTAATCCTTATATATATATATTTATTGATCCGATTTGTGAGTGGGATTCCTAATCTTAATTGAGATTTTATAGTTCGATATTTGGCAATTGCCAGTTGGATTTATTGTTTCACTTGGATTAATAAATCTTGGTGCGGTAGTATAGTTTGTGTGGGATGAATTTGTGTTATTAGCTAGGAAGGATTTGTCGAGGTAAAAAGTTAAAACCGAAGACGGCGAAAAGTCGTTATTAATGTATGAAATTGGCAACAAATTAAATATGATTACAATTTATATAAAGGAAAAATAATTAAAATACCCCAAACTTTGAGGGGGTGTGAGGTAAACACCATAAACTTGCATATGTAATTTAAATACCCCAAACTTTTTATAAACAATTTTTTTAGCACCATGATCATGTATTATTTCTTTCAAAAATGTTAATTTTTTGTGTTAATTTCATAATTTAAAATATTTTAGCATTCATGAACATACAATTAACAATCTATGCTTCCATTGTAAAATAACATATACTACTCCCACTCTATATAATTGCAACGTTTTTTATTTGCTATTTTAAATTATGAAATTAAAACCTTAAATTTCTATTTTTGAAAAAAATAATAATATATGGTCATGGTGCTAAAATAACTTAGTATATAAAGTTTGAAGTATTTAAATTACATATGAAAGTTTGGGGTAGTTATCTCACACTCCTCCAAAATTTGGGGTATTTGATTTATTTTTCCCTTTATATAAACAGGTTTGGAAAATCTAAATTAAAGGAGAATCGGACTGAAACAAATTGTTGAACTATTACATTACACAAAATTATTATGATAATTTTTTTATTTGGTTTCGAAAATCTAAATCAAAGTTTCTCGGTGTGTTCCACACGATTGTTTATTAGTAAACACTAACACGCAAAGTGCATGTTTTCCCTCCGATTTGTTTCATTGTTAACCAACCACAATGATGATTATTGATTACAGACCAGATATATAGATATTCTGACATAGATGACACATACTTTTCATGCGGAAATTACAACATAAATAATACGGAGTATACTTTTTTCTTGCATGCACCGTGTGAATAACGGTGAAAGATCAATTTGCCGCTTGACAATCTTGAAATATTTGATAAGCAAAAATGTTTAATACGGATTATAGTGTATGAACATTAAAGAATAACATTCACAGAATTTCGATAGTATATTATATTACTATATGAGTACTACGTATATATATTCATATACAGAGTAAAATAAAGAGTGGTTTTTATTTTTTACCTCATGTCGATTGCATTTATGAATGGTTTCTTCTTGTTCAATGAAGCAGGAAAAATTGTCAACGATCATCTTACCCGGCCCGTGGCCTGGTGTGTGATGATTACTAATGCATGGAAGCCCGATGACACTCTTCAATTTTCTCGTGAGCTTAATAATTATAATTATACATTTATCAACCCCTCATGGCCTCACACCAACAACATCATCCCTTAATGAGTGAAAAATTGCAATGGGCCAATGACCCTCTATTTATAGGAGAACCAACAAAGGTGTTTTCAAAATAAACCAACAGTCACTTTTAGATGCATGTGCAAATTTGTATTCTATATACAACGTAATTATTTTAGCCCAACTTTCTAGACATCATTATATTAATACTCCGTAATTAATTCACATGGTGACATGGTTCATTTAATCCTCTGCCTCTTCGGGAACTCCAGCCTTGTTTTACATCTTTCGAACTCCAACCGGTTGAAATAGTTTGTGTTCACACTTCCCGCCCAAACTCTCCCCTCACACTTTTCTGTTTTAATATATATATAGATAGATAAATAGCACATCTACTTTGCACCTGTCTCTTCTTTCTTGCTGCTTCCAAAATCACCATGAAAATAAACGTATTGAATGACTCCAATACTCGATTTTTTGGTTTGTCTTTAGTAGCAAAGAAGTTTGGTACTTATTCTTTCTTTACACTAAATTGCACCGATCTAATTACCCAATAGAGTGTGCTTTTAGGCTCTCAAACATTGTGAATTGGTATGTTCATTGATAGCCGCGGGCCGTTTGGTTTTCTTTTTTACTCAGAACTTACTTATCTACCTCTTAATAAGTGATTTTCTTGTTGCGGCGGGATCAATGATAAGATGTTGTGGCAGTTGACAACAATGTGCGACGGTAGCGTGATGTGTGGTCCGTGTGGAGGCAGCAAAGTCCAATGTGGTAGTTATGGTATGGCCATATGCGAGCAGTGGCGGATTCAGAAAAAATATTTATTGGGGGCGGAGTACTTAAAAAATCTAATAAAAATAACATTTATTAAATTGTTAATGTAATATTACAATAGTAAAAAGTTGAGGAATTTCCCGAAATATGACTAAAACAGTTTGAAAATTCCAAAATAGGACTGTCATGTTTTTTTCCCCAAAATAGGAGTAAATGAGTAAATACTGCCAAGTTTGGAAAATACTGCCATA